ATCTACGTTTCAAGTGATCGAATCTATCTAATCCCTCAGACACGGAATAGGACATGTAGGCGCCGTATCAAGTATTGGCGATCGTCAAACTACCACACACTCTCTCATGCATCCCACATGAGGACGAATTTCTATTTCCAGTCAGCGGGGCCGAATTTGAGACCCACGGTAAACTCGGATCAGCTACGTGAGACGTCGGAATGTGAAGGTCACGATGCCACCACCACAGACGATTCTTCCCCCAGCTACAGTGTGAAGATTGAAAGCCGGAGCCCAAGCACTAGTCTAGGTCAATACGATGCGACGGTCGGCGATTCTTCTACTTCACCGGAGAGTTACACCACCGGCGCAGATCAACATGGCACAGCTGTCTTTAAGGACAATCCGGATCCAGCATCGCTGCCATACAGACCGTTTCCCGCGCCGCAACATGAGCAGGAATATCTCACTAAGGATGAACAGCAATCACCAAAACCACGGGCTATCATCGCCGCTCAGTCCGAGGAGCAGGCGCAAGGTAGTAAGACTTCAACGCGTCATCATCTCCAACCAGAGGTATGGGAGCGCTACAGGGAGGAGATACACGAACTGTATATCGGGCAGAATATGTCACTGAATGAGCTGATGGAAGTCATGCGAGATAAGGGATTTCAGGCTACGTTAGTATACCGGCAGGTGGCCCACGTATAGGGTCGAGCACTAATTCAGATGCAGTCCTCGTATGTACAAGGCGAAGTTTGCGCAATGGGGCTTCGTCAAGAACAACAAAAGGAAAGACGTGGCGATGATGCTGCGATTGCAGCGCCAACGAGGTGCCGTCGGAAAGCCTACAACTTTCCATCGCCACGGGAGGTCGGTCGATATCGAAACATACATGAAGCGAAAGGGCATTTCCAGTAGTGACCTCGTCGGACCAGTCGCTGATGCTAACCTTCCGGAGTACTTACGAGCTCTCACACCTCCACCAGTTGAACCTCAGCACATGACCCTACCGTCTCACCTTCACGCCCAGGAAGTTCTCGTCTCGTGTTTTAAGGACCTCACGTTGAGCTGGCGAGACTCGATAGTATCTCCCACGTCTTTCGAGGTCGATTTCAACGGTTACTTCGATGGCGAACTATGCGAAGCTACAAGGGACTTCAGCAGAGCGTGCTGGTTCTTTTCAAGAGGCCACAACTCACACGGCGCTTTGCTTAGCCAGCGCGCCTTCTCCTCGCTGCATCTCCTGATCAAGACACCCTCTGCCCTTGGCCTGTTCGACTTACTAATAGCGAGCGTCATGTCTCCCGACTATGGACTCGCCAAGGAACTGTGGAAATACCTCGCGGGGTATGCGGAGGCGACGATGGGGCCGTCGAGCACATTCTGCCGGTTATTCAGTGCGTTGGGCGAGGTGTTCCGCAATTATACACTAGAGACCGGGGTGGACTTTATCTTTAGTTGCATGGAGAGCATACTTGGCATGTTGCTGGAGACGAATGAGTTCTCGAAGACCATCGTGCCTTCACTCAGCTTTTTCCTCTTGGGCGACTTGATCCTTTTTAACTCGACGAAGACCGACTTACCATCGCTCCAGAAAGCAGTGGCTTCTACATCCTCAGTATTGTACTCACAAGGCAGTGCCCAGGCAGCAGGCGTGATGAGGTTCATCGAGCCGGCAGCATACCTCTGGCAAAACGGGCCCTACGACGAGCAGTCAGCCCAGCTAGCGTACGCAGCACTCCAACTAGTCGACGAGGTATCGAATCGGTATGACTGGACGTACTGGGTGTCGTGGCGCGTCATCGCCCACTTCCACCGAAGTCGGTGTGGCGCAGACGGGTCCTCGGTGAAGGACAACCCCCGCCACGCGCTGGCTCGGTACGCGCTGGCTCGGGCCATCGACGCCGCCCAAGCCGGGCGAGGCTTCGGCGAGTCGCAGATCTTCGAGAACATGCAGACGCTGGAGACCTGGCACCGCGAGGCCGGGGATACTACACAGGAGCTGGCAGTGCGCCGTCGGAGAGACAGGGGCCTGCGGGATTACTTTGACATGTTACAGCGAGGTCCTAGAGTAGATGTGCCCAGGACACCGGGTTCATAATGAAATCAATTGGGCTTGAATCGTAGCTGAGATACATCCGATCCGCTATCTTGTCATTTTTGGTTAATAGCAACCTCCACAGCTCTTGTATACGACGGGCCGTAGCCAAAACCTTTAGCAACCTTTGATTCCGAGGATGACTACTTCTACACCTATATCAAATGCGACAACACTCCAGGCCGTCAAGTTCTGTTGAAACAACCATATTTGATTGAACACAGTTCATGACCATAAACCCATTCATTATAAAGGCATGACGTCGTTGTAGCAATTTGAAGAGCGACGCTATCCTAGATCTTACGGTCTACCAACACCCTACAGATAGTAAAGCACCAACGCCATAGTTCGTATCAATGCCCATCCATGCTTCCGCTTATGCATGTATCCACCGTCCCAGCCTTGAGCAAGCCAAATCTCACAAAAACACGTAGGGCTACTACCCCGATATAGCACCGACCTTCTCATCCCACCAAGTCTTCCAATCAACGACCTTGCGGCCGGTACGCGCCTCCTCGGCCGCAAACACCATGGCATGGCTACGGACGATCTCCTCCAGACTACACCCGATAAACTCGCGCTGTGCGCGCGGGGCGGGCCAGCCGTGATTCTTGACGCGGTCGACGGCGAGCACGAACTGGCGCGTGATGCCGTGGTCGCCGCCGCCGTGGCCCAGGCTCTCGAGCTTGGGGCGGTAGGAGCGCTGCACGCCCGTGCGGAAGTCCTCGACCGTGATGGTGCGCGAGTCGGCGTACATCTCGCCCGTCGTGCCGTACACGTACGTGAAGCGGTGGCACTGCCGCTTCGTCTGCGCTACCATGTGGAAGGTGGCCTGCTTGGCGCCGCGGTTACCGACCGCATCTTCGTACGCGTGGGACGGGGACGGGGACGGGAGCGGGTCCTCGTCCCACCGTATCGTGACTACCTGCTCGTCGCACACGTCGTTGTCGGACTCGAACACGCACCGCCCGAACCAGTTGCGCGCGTCGATCTCTTCTTGCGGCGTGGACTCGTTGTAGTCTTCGGCCAGCCGCCGCATTAATTCGGGCCGCGCGCTTTCGATGTCGCCGCCAAAGCTCTCGATATCCGGCAGCACTACGCTCATAGGCCAGCGCGTGTTGCCCGTCTCGAGGCCCTGGTGCCGCGTGCTCTCGTATATTCGCTTGCTCGAGTACATGCACTCGGGCTCGGCGGGGCAGCTTAGACAGTTCGTCGCATCGCCCGCGGCTTTCGGTTTCCGGCTTTTACGGAAGAACTGCAGAGACCCCGTGGACGCGACCTCGGAGGGGATGTGGGGTGGTTCGTCAGACCCGGGTTCCGCCGGCGAGCACAGCAACCACAGGATGATGTCGATATCGTGGCAGCTCTTGGTTAGCAGCGAGGGCGCCGTGGTCGACTCCTTGCGCCAGTTGCCTCGCACGTATGAGTGAGAGAAATGCCAGAAGCCTACTGGTTCCGTGTGCACGACGCTGAGCACCTCGCCAATGGCTTTGTCCTCGAGCAACAGCTTTCGCAGCGTGATGTTGTGCGGCGAGTACCGCAGCACGTGTCCCACCGAGAAGACTCTGGAGTCTTGCTGCAGCGCCATCGCTCGGTACATGCTAACACAGTCGTCTAGCGTCGTGGCGAGCGGCTTCTCGCACATGATGTGCAAGTTCAGCGGTGCAAGTGCAACCACAACGTCATGGTGCATCTCGTCGCGGACGCACACAAACGCAGCATCGACGCCCTCGGGTACGGTCTCGCCGGCAGCCTCACGCTTCCGGCGGCGGAGCTCCCAGTCGACGAAGTGGCGCCAGTCGGAGAAGCAGGAGCCCTCGGGCCGGGGCTTCTGGTGGTCGGTCCAGATGAAGGTGCGCACGAACTCCTCGCGCTTGTAGGCGTCGGGCTCGCAGACCGTGGCCACGACGCCGTTGCTCGACTGGATGGTGCAGCGGCCGTAGACGCGGCCACGCGACCCCGCGCCGATGATGAGGACCCGTGGTGGCTTCTCGGACATGGGAGGGGGCGTGGGCGGCCTGACCTCGGTGCCTGCCGGCTCGTTCTCAAGGTCGGCCGGCCCTTCATCTTGGATATTGTGTGGAGCCATAGTGATTATAGTGCTTATATAGATGGGATGGGGATGGACGAGGGTTGGGTGCTGGGATTCAACGATTGAGTCTCCGATACATGTATAGTAGATAGGTATATATACCTCTTGTCACAAATAAAGGAATCTCACCTTATAGCGGTGACGAAGAATATCAATGTCAGCCTGTGAACTAACATATGCGGGGATCTACACCCAGCGATACACCAGTTAATGCAAACATGAGATAGATGAGGAAACGTTGGTCAGCGTTGTTGGTATTCAAGAGGTGTTGAAGTGAAAGACTAAGGTGCCGTATCGGCCTATCGGACGCTAATTGATTTGTTACCGCGCTGCTCTCAGTGGCTGCCCCCGTCGCGGATGGGGCGCTAACAACCGCTACAGAATCCCGACTTTTCGGACTCGCCTCCCATGATTGGGTTCACGATACGAAAGCAACTTTGTCTTAGATGTCGTACGTGAGAAGTATGTATGAGCAAGCGATTGCATTGCGGTATATAAGACAACCTCAGGTGACTAACAAGGTAGATCATCTCAGGAATGCATTGCGACGTGGCTGTGTCACATAGGATATCGAAATCATCTTGCTATCGCCATTAGGTGTGACTAAGTACATGCTCAAGAAATGGGAATATAGAAGAGTTGGATAAAGGAGAAAGAAGATGATAGGAAAGAGTGAAAACTTTGAAAGATCAAACGGAATAATTATCACGTAAGAACTATCAACGTTTGAGGGGCTCGAATTTGTCATCTTGATTCATTTAAAAACCAATTTGGTTATAGGTAGTACTAATTACTGAACAATTACATCTGCCTCTCATCCATAAGAAGGGGCGTGTAACTCAGTGGTAGAGTGCTCGCTTTGCAAGCTCCAACGCTAAAATGCGAGAAGTCCAGGGTTCGACTCCCTGCTCGTCCAGTACTTTTGCCGATTTTCGATGTCTGCTTATTCCTTAACTTTTGTCATTTTGCTCATCCTTCTCGACTCCAATTAGGTACTCTTTTTGCCTCTACCATTTCTAATTAAGATATCCTGAATTATCAGATCTAGAAGCCCTTTTCAAAGGATAAACCATCGTTTACCTAGGTAAGTTTATTATTTACATTCATTGGAGTCTGCCTCCTAATCGACAATTGTATATGATGCGATAAGCAGTCTGTATGCACAGTATTCACACCAGTCGCATGAAGGTTAATGCTACCTACCTATAAGGCATAAGCTCACACATGTTAAGTGATAAAACAGCTCTGTTCTCGTCTACGAAATTCTGTCTTGAATACGGACGGTAAATCATGGAATCTACCTGATCTAATAGTTATGTATTTGGGCTGACCATTAGCTAGCAGTTAACATCGATAATCTCTATAGCGAATATGATTTGAATCTTTGGCTGTTATCTTGTCACAGTTTATTTAGCTGTTATATCGATCTCTTGCTAAAGATCTTTTTTTCCAAGGAGTCGTGTATTTATCCTTAGGCTAATAGGCCTTTGAGGTAGTTACTACTTTTAAGTAAATTATCAGGATCTAACCAATGTCGCAGATGAAATAATAGAGGTTGTCTTTTGTGACTTTGTAATGTGACTTCGACATAGCCGCACAATGGAAATAATTCCTAAGATGGTGGGTATAGGCAAAGCAATGCGCGCTTTAGGTAACTATAAAACAAACCACAGACCCAAGTCAGCTCTTTATTATTCTTCGCATTCACGCCTAGTGTCGCCTAGCATACCTAGGTAGTCACAGCCTACGAGCAAAGATTTTAGGCGCATATAATGAGTGTCACTGCTCCAACAGCCCATCACACTCCACCACTGACTCGGTTACCCTGCGTGGCATTCCGTAGATATAATTCGCAAGAGAACTGAAGCTTTTAGGCAAGTAATCCACCAACTACTCCTAACCTCAACCCCAACCTAAGGTATGAACCCGTCAAGATGACATACTGCAAGCAAATCCCGACTGCATCCATCCTCCCCTGGGGCTGCGCCATCGAGCTCGACACCCTGGGACTACCCGCCAGCCCTCGTATCTACCACAGCACGACGTGCGCCTGCGCCGGCCGGCAAGACGAGCTCCTCCTCCAGCACCTGGACAGCTGGCGCACGAACGGCGGAGCGCAGATACTGCAAATCGACCCAAAGTCCGCGGCAGCCGTCATCCTCCGGCTCATCAACAAGTGGGAACTGGGCACGGCAGACTGCTTTGCCGGCTTACAGGAAGATGCGCAGGAGTGGAGGGCGGAACTCGTGCGGAGAGCTATGCCTAACAACCCCCTCGCCAAAGCCAAGATCGCGAAGAAGAAGCGCGGTAGCAGGATGAAGCCTGTTGCGCTACCTGTTGCGCTTCCTCTAGCTACTCATGGCACCGGAATCTATGATGACGAAGCGACGTATTTACGATCTTAATACATGCTACCAAAATCTCGGCATACTCAGTTCGACTTTACAGCGCAATATCACGGCGATGGTTTATCTATTTCGTATATTGTACGAGGCGTTCTGTCAGGAGTAGGTAGTTAAGTGATCGGTAACTTGATATACATATTATACCTGAGATCCGCCCAGGGGCATGGTTGCGAAGTCTGATGGACCGTGGGGTATTGAGGATGAGCTACGCAATAGGAACTAGATAGTCAACACGCTTATATCTGTATATAGTGTAGTGCTGCCTCGTTATTTACTTATGTTAGTAGGAAATGTGGAATATCTCTTTCCATTATATGCTTACCTCGTACCGTCTGTTAAGTCTCGTAGTGTCATAGAGATTGGAGGTAGGTAGGTACCCTAAGGATGTATAAACTCTTCAACAATCACTATTATCCTTATTTCGAAACGAATTCCACGATAAACACCTATTTACCTACGGATTCGTACATACCTCCTAGGTAGGTATGAGTTCAATAATATTAGTTCCTATAGATCAACACTATCCCTTTCCAGGTTCTTTCACCTCCCCCCTAATTTATCTACTCTAAACTCTTCCTCACACCCTCCCCCATATAATAATACGAAGGCAATGATAATGAGGGAATCGTTCTCCACTAGGTCCCCCTTCTAAGCATGCTCTACTACTGCTTATGGACCACGTCCTAGAGTTCTAAGTGACTCGACCATCTCTAATATATTTATATCTATTATTGTGACCCGCAATTACTTTCTGTATCATAAAAACATTATTCGAAAGAGATTTGGCGCGCCGAGAGATTGTAAGCGATGCCTTCCAATTACCAGGCAACGAAAAGTGTAGAAGGGATGAAATTTAGCACTCAGTCAAAGGCTTCACCCGTCACTAATTTTCGCATCCTCCTATCACCTGTCCAGGGGTCATATAAATGTATTCTTCCCAATATAATATTGAATTTTCCGTTATTCTCGTAACTTTCGGTGCAATGTTCATATTTTTGAAAATGACGAGGACCTGCCTAGACTTTGGCGGCGTCGGCCCACCGGGCTCGGTGTAATATAGACCGGAGCTTTAGTGCTCTCGGGAATCACCAGTGTCAATTGGTCCCTTCAAATTGAACACCTACCTCTTTTATCGTTCTTCGAATAGGGGGTATATTCGTCTTGTTTCAACCAATAATGGATTCCGCCGCGCTACTCACCGCAGATATCGCCTGGCCTCTCTGGGACGTGCAGACGGTAGAAGGCGCATTCGAAATAAGTCGGCCTGACGGAACCCTCGATAAAGCAGTAGTGACTAAAGTCGCACGGCCATGGCTCTTTGGTTATAAGCCAACTGGTCCTGCCAACGGCCGCGCTGTGCTGATTCTCGGAGGGGGTGGCTACACGCAATTGATGGTGGGCCGTGAAGGTATCGCAGTCGCCCGTTGGCTAATTGGGATCGGCTTCACTGCGTTCGTACTCGTTCACAGATTCCCCAACGCCGAGGCAGGACCACAAGCTCCCCTAGATGACGCTAGACAAGCAATATGCCAGATCAAAGAGAAGAACTTCGCCCCTGGCGGCTTGGGCGTGTGTGGTTTGTCGTCAGGTGGCCATCTTGCAACAGCTCTGCTGTCTGAGTACCCAGCCACGTGGACACCTACCTCCCCGATTCCAGATCTGAGTTTTGCCATCATTGGCTACGGGCCGATATCAACAAACGCCGCGGGTCGTACCATCGTGGCCGACAAACCTCCGTTGGATCCCCCAGCCAAGCAAGCACTGTACGATACCGTAGTGCCAGACGAACATCTAGTACAACCTACTCCACCGACATTCATCGTTTACTCCGCCAGCGATCCCATTGTGCCGGTTGTTAACGCATATCGACTAGCTCAGAGTATCACGAAGGCAGGCGGCTCCGCCGAACTCCACGTGTTTGCCGACGCACCCCACGGTTTTGCTATGGATACAATGGGCTTACCAGTATCGCAGTGGCCATCGCTATGCGAGGCGTGGATCAGGCAGCAGGGGCTTCTAGGGAAGTGAGCAATAAGGTCTCGAAAGAATAGGAGGTAGGGGGAGGAAGCTAGAGAAAGAGGAACAGAAGAGATCCTAGATCACCCGTGACGAGATCGAGTCTAGGGAAGAAACATTATCGTTATCACGGCGAGATAGCACAAGAACTAATAGAGATAAGTCGCGAATCAGCTCCAACTTCGGTTTGCATGTAAATGATGCCTACGCGGCATAGGAGCCTCCAAGACAGCTTTGGGATCAAAAAATGGCATTCCCCTGTACCAACTGACTGCCCGAAAGATAATTGCCACTATGCTCTATAAGTACAAAGGCCTTGGCCTTATAGATCGCTATAATTACAAGGCATTCCCCTTATAATGTTGTGATCTAAGCTTACTAGGTACCTCTCCCCTATTTCCGCTCATTTTAGTTTGCGTGCTTTTGTCTTGGCAAAGATAGAGGGTCTGGGTGGATTTGATGGAGATTCTGGCGTCGGTCTGCCTGTGGAAGGAACGGCCGGCCTTATAGCTCAAGCATATTGTATCTTCGCTATTCTCTAGATATCCATAGAGAGTAAGAACTTATACATACCTATTCAGATCGATTGCTTAGCTGTCACCATACCATATCCTGACCTAATGATGCCCCAGATCACGTATCATTTCTGAAATCTGTGGTGTAGAGTCTTTCTTTTCTTTAGCCTTAACTCTTCTAGCGACAGCTTGTTCTTTTGATCGAAGTTTCTTATAAGCTCTGATGCGTTTTGCGTTAAGACTTCTCGGGGATATCACTGATTGTGGACGGCGCTATAGTCTTTCCATCTCACCAGATACTTCAGGGATGGCTTTCCTCCCACGCGTGATACTCGGCGCTGGAGCACCAGAAATGATACGCTATCCAGCGCATCATTATAGTCATAGTATGGCATGGTGACAGCTGAGCAATCGATCTGAATAGTAGTGTGTAGTTTCTCGATTTCGAAAGACTTCCATTCTTCGTCGTCTCCATCTACCCAGATCTGTCCGGGCTTGTGGTTTCCTTCTGAAGAACATGTCCTTGCCCGGGGCTGCCGGTTCCAGATGCGCCACTGATATGATTCTGTGGACTCTGTAATATCTGGGGAAGCCTAGTCGGTACGCGAGGCCTCCGTACCTGACCCTACCCGCCGCCGCAGCAAAGCCAACCACCGCCCCTGCCTCCCACTGATATACTTTTCTCAGTATCCTTCTACGACCCTATGTTGTATTCTATCAATTGCTTCTCTCCACGTTTCTATTCGACTGAATTTGTCGGTGTAGGGATTAGCATGCTATCGCGGCTTCGGGGAATTGACTGTGTCGGGATACCTGACCTTGATACCTGACCTGTCAGGATGGGACTTGGGCAGGAGGACAAAGAGGTTCATGTATATATACCCGGGGTCTCCCTCAGATAGGTTGTAGTCCCTCGCGAAACAACATAGTTCATACCCCCCTATATGGTCCGCCTCGTGACATTTTAGGGCTTCGGCCAT